TCTCCTCTCCCCTCCCCTTCCCTTCTCTTCCACTCCCCCTCCTCCTCCCCTCCCCTTCCCCTCCCCTCCCTTCTTCTTCTCTTCTCTTTTCTTTTTTTGACAGGGTCTCCCTAGTTCCAGCCCAGTTGGAATTGACTATGTGGACCAGGCTGGCCTTGATCTCAAAGAGATCCACCTGTCTTTGCCTCCTGAGGGCTAGGATTAGAGGCTCTTCTCATCATGTATGGCATTCCAGTGCATTCTTACTCTTGTTCTGCTTGGATTTTCTTGACTCAGTGTTGGTGAGTTACATGTATCTAGGAATTTCCACACAATTTTCTATCACAGGTGTAATAATTGACATTCCTACCAACAGTGTATATGGTTCCCTTCTACACATCCTTGCCAATACTTATCTTGTGTGCTGGTTTTTGTTGTTAGCAAATGCTCCAGCACCAAATTGTATTCCTAGCACTTTCCCACTTACTTTTTTTTTTTTTTTTTTTTTTTTTTGAAACAGGGTCTCCATGTAACCCCAGCTAGCCTGGAACTCACTATGTAGACCAGGCTAGCCTCAAACTCACAGAGATTTGCCTACCTCTCCCTCCTGAGTGTTGAGACTAAAGGCATGCGCCACCTTGCCCAGCCATTTTTAAAAAATTGAGACAGAGTTTCACTGAGGTACCAAGACTAGCTGGAACTTACTCTGTAAACCCAGGCAGGGCTTAGGAGCTTGTGATCTTCCTGCCTAGTCTCTTGGGTAGCTAGAATTATAGACCTATGCCAGAAGGCTAGGCATCAGTTTTTGGCAAGAGTCATTAAGATATGTACAATTTCTTCTATGTTATCCAATTAGTGTATAACTAATTGCTTGTAGTAATTTCCTATGGTTCTTTGTATTTCTGTGGTATCAGAATTTTTGTTTTGTCTTTGTTTTTATTTTTTACTAAGTATCAAATTCAGGTTCTTGTGCATGATAGATGTTTTATCAATGAGCTTTTTCTCCACCCCTGTGCTACCAATTTTAGCGTCTCTTCTTGCAATTCTGATCTTATTTTAATTTTTCCTTTTTCTTAGTCTAGCTAACAGTTTGATTTTTTTCTGCTAACTTTAGTCTTGATTTTGTTCTTCTTTTTCTAACTCCTTGAGATATAATATTAGGTCTTTTGAGACCTTTTCTTTTTGGTATTTTTTTGCAATAACTATCACTCAGAAATGGTTTTGCTATATAAGGTAAGTTTGCTCTGTTATATTTCCATTTTCAATGGCCTCAAAATGTTTGGGATTTTTCTTTTGGCTTAGGACTTTTGAGCTAGACTATGGTCCACACTGCCCTGGAATACACTGTATAGCCAAGGCTGGCCTTGAACTCACAGCAATCATTTTCCCTCAGCTTCTTAACTGTTGGCATTAGATGTAGGATCTAGTCATTATACCCAGCTCTTAAGATATGTTCTGATTTTCTTTTTGATTTATTCTTTGATCTTCTGGTTTTTCAAAGGTAGGTTGTTTAATTTTAACATATTTGTGAACATTCTAAGATGTCTCCTATTGCTAATTTCAGAAGAGACACGTGATATTTTTGTAATCCTCCTAAATGTGTTCAGATTTGCTTGGTGGTCTAACAGGATCTTTCTGTGCAGAGCAATCCATATGCTTGAGAAGAACATGCATTCTTTATATGTCTGTTGAGTCCATTTGATCAAAAGTGTAGCTCAAGTTTCTATCCGCGTGATTTATCCATCATTGAGGGTATTGAAAGGACTATTATTCTGTTACCATCAGATTCTTTAAATATTTGCTTATACTTAGGTGCTCTGATATCAGGTGTGCATATATACATATTTAAAATATTATATCAACCTAAAGAGTTGACTCCTCTGTAATTATACAGTCATATTTTATAACTTTTATTAAAGCTCATTTTAAGTATAGCTGTGCCTACTCTCTTTTGGCTTCCATTTGCATCCATTTGCTTTTCAGTTTTTCTATGACCCTAAAGCTGAGATGAGTCTCATGTTAGGTAGTGCACAGCTGGCTTCTCAGATCTAACACTTTATCAGAAGCATAGCAAAATCTCCAAATTACTCGGGAGGATTATTTCCATGGTTCGATCTACTCATTTGCAATGATTTCACTGAGCTGTAGAAAACAGCATATTAAAACAAGTTTCAGAAGCATGTGTGAATATAAGTAAAATGGTCTTTTAGAAGAAATTTGAAATACATTATCAATGCTCACTGTAGAGTGTAAGCTTGATTTAAATTTACGAGAATGAAAATATACTTGTCTATTGTTAAAGATCAGTATTCTCAACTATTCAAAAGTCTTAAAGAGTAGGTTTTCAACTGACAGAGTGCAGTAGTGAGTTATGTAGGAAATCCATACCAACATTGCCACACAGAAGTTGAAGGTGAAGTTAAGATTGAACATATGCAATACAGAGAATTGGTGATATGTATCTTCATGTTACCAGTTTCTGTATGTTTCTCCTTAGAGGGACTCAGTCACCCCTGTGAAGACCCAGGGTTCTTCTCTCCCTGCCTCCTTTCCCTACTCAAAGTGTCATCAGACATGACTCCCTTTACATTAAATGTGGTTAGAAATTCTGAGGAAGGACACAAGTTTTGCATGGCTCAGGCAAGCTCTTACTCTCAAAGCCAGAGCAAGATTCTGAGCACAGCAGCAGAGGAGGGCATGTCCTCTAGAAGATGGCATGCCTGTACCAGGGGGTCACAGAGGGTGAACTAGAGGAATCTGTAAGAAAAAAGGAAAACTGGAAAGGGAAGATGGTACAAACTATCAAAATCCTAAAGCACCAAGCTGAGTTCCATAAACCTGCTCCGTGTTTCAATATGAGGGGAGAAACCATGGAAATAAGAAGAGCAACATTTTAATCTGTTAATAACACGATGGGAAAAGGGGGTGTGGAGTCAATGCTATCATAAGAATAAGCCTAGCTGGCAAGGAGCTTGGGGAATAGGAGGGCACGGGCAATGAAAAACCAAGGCAGTGAAGAACAGTCACATTTCTGATGAAATATTTTACCCAGAAAAATCTTCTTGATGCATGGTGATGATTATGGCTTCTATCGCATCTCCCACTGAAGTCAGTAAGGGCTGCACTGCATTCCCCATAAGGGCATGAATCATCTGACAAGGAGAAAAAGAGAAAGAGAAGCAAAATCAGAGAAACCCACACAAATCTGAGGAAATGAAGTGAGAAACATTTGACTAACAGTTTTCATATGCTATCAGATTCAGATGATACATAGTTTAACTCAACAGAAGTCTGACTCTCTCCCTAACCACTGTCAGTAATGACTTGTAAGGATTAAAATATGCAGATCATGGCACTGGAAACCTCCAGCTCTCCTAGTCATCTCATTTTGTCAGAAGGTTTAAGGGTTAAATGAGCCCACAGCGAAAGGAAGACATACAAGGAGGGAAATATAATTTCACTTACAAAGCAAAGAGCAAATGGACACTTTTTCTCAAAAAAGTAAAACAAGATCAAAAGTAATTTCTTGAAAAATTGGAACACTGCCTTATCTTTTTCACCAGAGTGAATATAGTAAGAACACTGGCCATTCTCACAGGGTGGAAAAGTTAGGCATTTTACAAATTAGGTTTCTGTTGAGAATCCTATTGCAGTGATTCTCAATTGTGGACACTTTTGAACCCCATGAAATATCTGGCAGTGTTTGGAGACCAAGAAGGAGGGAGAAGTGCGTCACTAGCATCTAGTGATAGACAATAGAGATGTGCTTAACATTCTACAGGTTAGATTACAGACTAGAGATTAATCATGTCTAAGGCATTCATGTTACTAAGGTGGAAAACTGTTTTACAGTGATACATAATCAATGGTTGATCTATGGAAGACCCTAGTAGTGACTAAGGAAAGAGATTTTGGTGTGCAAATATAAATGAATAAGGCCGGGCGTGGTGGCGCACGCCTTTAATCCCAACACTCGGGAGGCAGAGGCAGGCGGATCTCTGTGAGTTCAAGGCCAGCCTGGTCTACATAGTGAGTTCAGGACAGCTAGGGCTACAGGGAGACCCTGTCTCAAAGGCAAAAAAAAAAAATTAGAGGCAGCAGGATCAGAGATGAAAGGTCAACAGAGCTTGGTCATTAGATTTGTAAAGTATGAAAAGAAAGTAAGGGTGCACACTTTGTTTTCTTTAATATTGATACTGTTGACTAAATGTGTAATAAAGATGCAGCAGAGGTTGATTTGGGGATGTAGAGAGAAAAAGATCCAGAGTTTAGTTAGGGACAAGAATTTGAAATGCCGATGGGAAATCTAGCTGGGCTATTTGGTAGGTTCTGAGATATTTAGATTTGTACTTTCTGAGATTTTGCAGTCACTGGTTTTTGAAACAGAGAGAAACCAGAAGAGTCAATGAGCTCAGGGAGTACCATGAAGATTAAGGATGAACACCAGTGCAGTCTTCAAGAGGAGTCCTGGGAGGGTTAAGGGGAGTATATACTTTCACTTAGCATCTATTATATGCCAGGTCATTTCACTTAGAAAAAAGTGTTCCTTCTCCCAAAGACTTGTTAACATTTCTAATTTATAGCTGGGGAATGTAAAATAATTTATACATTGAGAAACTAAGTCAAGTTCAGGAGGTTGTCCAAAGTCATAGTGAATAAGTGGAACAGCTGAGACTGCTTAGGCATTCTGTCTGCCCCCATGACTATGGTGGTACCAGGTCATTGAGCAAAGAAAATGAAGAAAACTTAGAGTATGGTAAGGCAAAACAAAACAAAAAAGACCATCTTAAGAAGACTGAGTTTTCTACTTATCACATGAAGGTGTCTACTACAAAAAAACAAAACAAAAGAAAAAACCTACTGGGGAACTTAGGAGGCACAACCCAGGTAGTTTCTGAGAAGTGTGGAACTCTAGGGTGAGCAACCAGAAGGGTGCGTTTCCCATGCTCTGTGGCATTGCTCTCAGGTGACTACAGTCAGGACAAGGCAAGGACCGGTGGTTAAAACCCACAGGAAAACAAAAAGGGTATCATCTTTTCTTTTCTGACCCCCTTTCTCTCTCTCATGCCTCCCCCAACCCCACTGGTCTCCTTCCTGCTCTCATATACCTCACGTTAGGTTTTAATGTCATAGATACTGTTAAATCTGGATTCTGCATATCAGAAAAATGATATATCTCCACAATTCCCTTTTGCTCCTCTCCCCCATCCTTTAGACTGCTTCATAAGCCCACTCCTGCTTTCATATAATTTGAATATATTCAAACATATATTTGAATCTAAATTCCATATATGAAAAAACATGCACTACTTGTTAGACTGGCTTATTTTGCTTAGCATGTTTATCTCCAGTTTTGCCCATTTTCCTGCAAATGGTATATTATTCTTCCTAATGGCTGAATAAAACATTTTCTTTCTTTCTTTGTCTGTAGATGGCCATCTAGGTTAGTCCTACACCTTGGTGATGGTGGTAAACATGGACATACAAGTACAGTGATAAACATGGATGTGTTAAGGCTCTGTGGTTTACTAACTTATATTCTTTTTTTGTATATATGACTAAGCGGAATAGCTGAGTCATATGGTAGTTCGCTTTTCAGTTTTTTGAGGAACCTCTTTAAACCTCTTTATTGATTTCTGTAGTGGATATATCAGTTTATAGTCACATCAGTGTGTATGAGTTCCTCTTTTTCTAAATCTTCAGCAGCATTGGTGGTCATTTGTCTTTTTTTTTTTTTTTTTTTTTTTGAGACAGGGTCTCCCTGTAGTTCCAGCTGACCTGAACTCACTGTGTAGACCAGGCTGGCCTTGAACTCACAAGGATTTGCCTCCTTCTGCCTCCCAAGTGCTGGGATTAAAGGTGTGCGCCACCACACCCGGCTCATTTGTCTTCTTGAAGGTGACCATTCTGATTGGAATGAAATGGAATATATTGCAGTTTTAATTTGCATCTCACTGATGTCTAAAAAGTTTAACATTTTTCATATATTTATTGGTAACATATTTCTTATTTTAAAGTGTGTATCAGATCTGAGAATTTTCTGGTGGTCTTTAGGATCTTTTAAGTATAGGATGTTATCTACAAATAGGAATACTTTGATTTCTTCCCTTCCTAATTACCCCTTTTATTTCTATCCTAATATCCCTTTTATTCCTTTCTTGTCTTATTGGTTTAGCTAAGACTTAGAGCACTAAAGTGAGTAACAGCATAACAAGACCCTTGTATTGTTCTCGATTTTAGGGGAAATGCATTTAGTCGGTTATCATTTGCTGTACGTGGCCTTTATTATGTTGAGATACAGTCCTACTCTTCCTTTCTCTTGTTTTATCATGAAGGGACATGGATTGTCAAAGTCCTTTTCTGCCTGCTGAGATAATTATGTGATTTTAGTCCTTAAGTTCATATATGTGATGTATTACTTTATTGATTTTCATAGATTGAAAACATACATTGAAACAGCTTTGCATATCTTGAATGAAACCAAGCAGATCATGGTATACAGATTTTTAAGTGTTTTTAATTTCAGTTTCTTAAGTATTTTATGGAGAAGTTTATGTTTATATTCAGGGAAACTGGCTTATATCTTTTTTTGTTGTATATGTATGTACAGATGCACATGTATGTGGAAGCTAGAGATCAATGTTAGGTGTCTTCCTCAATCACTCTTCACCTTATTTTTTGAAACAGGATCTCTCATTGAACCTGGAGCTCAGTGATTTGACTAGACTTGGTTATCCATCAAGGCCAAGGGATCTTTCTGTCTGTGCCATTACAAGCACATGCCAACACTTCTGGCTTTTTATGTGGGTGCTGGGAATCAAACTCATGTTCTCATGATAAGTACTGTACTGACTTAGCTATCTCTCCAGCCTTCTATATCTTCTGTATTTTGGTATATCTGTACCTAGTTTTTGTATAAGGGTAATACTGTTCTCATGGATAAGTTTGGTAGTATTCTTTTGTTTCTATTTTATGGAACAGTTTGAAAAGCATTAGTGTTAGATTTTTACAGGTCTGATAGAATTCAGAAGTGAATCTGTAGATCTTAGATTTTCTTTGTTAGTAGACTATTACTGCTTCAATCGTGTTGACTGTTATGGATCTATTTCAGTTGTTTATATCATTTTTTACTAACTGTTGGTAAGTTATATGGGTCTAGAAATTTATAAATTTCTTCTGGATTTGGCTTCATTTTGGAATGTAGATTTTCAAAGTGTTTTCTAAAGATCCTCTGCTTTCATTGGTATTTAGTGTCCACATTTTTCATGTTTCATTTTATTGACTTTTGTCTTCTCTCTCTTTTAGTTAGTATCATTAAGAGTTTGTCAATATTGTTTATTTTTTCAGTCACAAATTGAGTTATGTTGAAATCATTAATTTTTTTTTTTTTAAAAAAAAAAAAAACAGGATCTCCTTAGTCCTAGTCCTATGTAGAGCAGTAGACCAGGCTGGCTTTGATTTCATAGAGATTCACCTGCATCTGCTTCAAGTGCTAGAATTAAAGGCATGTGCGACCACACCCAGCTCTTTTGTTCTTTTACAGTCCATTTTATTAATTTCTGCCCTGATTTTTCTTATTTCTTACCATCTACTGTTTTGGAATAGTTTTCTTGTTATTATTTTTCTAAGACTTTCAGGTACACTATCAGATAGGTTATTTGTAATCTTTCTGAATTAAAAAATATCTTATATTTTATGTGTATGAATGTATTGCCTACATATATGTAAGTGCACTCATGTTGTGCAGTGCCAAAGGAAGTCAGAAGAGGGCACTGGATTCCCTGGACAGTTGTTAGCTGCTACATGGGTGCTGCAATTCAAACCCAGTGCTCTTAACAGCTGAGCCATCTCTCCAAACCCCTCTTTCTGAATTATTTTTTAATGTAAGTCCTCATATAGCTATAAATGTTCCTCTTAAAACTATGTTTTCCATATACAGAAGGTCCTTCTAACCTGTACTTTCATATTTATTTAATTATATGAATTAAAAAAAATTTATTATTTTTATTTTATGTGTATGAGTGTATTGCCTGCATGTAGGTGAGTGCACCCACGTCGTGCAATGCCTGTGGAGGACAGAAGAGGCCGTCAGATCCCCTAGAACTGGAGTTACGGACAGTTGTTAGCTTCCATGTGGGTGCTGGGATTTGAA